TTGTAAAAGGTTTCAATGATAGATTTTCAAAATGTAATTTGCAAATGCACTTCTGTAACACAGAGAAAATTTATTCATTGACATGATGTAATAAAAATATTTATTTCAGATTTAATATTATAGCATGTAAATTATTTAAATCATTCTGATTTTAGTTTCTTTTTCATTCCTGATTTATTTTTTTGTTTTTGTTTCTCGATATTTTCAAATTTAATTCTCTTCGGATTGATGCCATAAGCCCTTAATCTTTGATCACTGATCATTACTTGGTATGATGATCGTCTATTGTTCCTTTGCCTCCTCCGATGACCAACAATAGATAACTTTGTATTGTCTGTATGTTGTTTTTTCACTTTTAGTATTTTTTGTTTTGATTTGAGTATTTTTTTCATTTTGGTGTATTGTTTGCTTTCGGTAAGTGACTTGGGATTTGATTTTGATACCAGGAATTCTTTGGTATCTTTCGAATCGGAGACATCTTGTCTTTGTTTATCTGATTTGTTCTCTCTCTTCTTTATGTCTAGCTTCTGTTTTTTCCTTTGGTGATCTGCATCAGTATTTGTTTCCTGGGGCTCTTGAGTTGTTCGTTTTTTTGTTAGTTTATCTATACTTTTCAATTCCTTCTTTTCTTCCGTTCTACAATAAGAGTTGAAAAACATTAGTGAAAAGAGGAAAACACAGAAAACAAAAATGTCAGCAGATACATATATATATATATTACTTTTCTTTTATAATGAAATTTGGCCTTATATAATAAAAAAAAATAATTAAAAAAAAAAGTAAATTATCCCTCTCGATAACAGTGCGCTTTCTTTTGTTTTCATAGTTACAAACTGTTACCATGGTAACAAGATCACTGGTAATTTGTTTTCATACTTACGCTTCATTGTAAACTGTGCGCAGAACTCTCTTCTTTTTCATTAGATTCCTTCCCTTTTTCTTGTAAAATTTCACATCATTCCATTCGTCATCCTCTGGCCTACAATGAATTGCAAATTGATTTTAAGCTTTTGACGTTTTTCCCCGCTAAAGCATTTGGTGGAACATTTTGGAAATTTGCCTGCATATTTAATTTATAATTAAAATTTGTTATTGATTTTTGGAAAATACAAAAAAAAAGAAATTTTATATTTTTTTGTAAAAGCTTGATGATTTTTTCAACTAAAAAAATTGTACAAGAATATACTAAGTACATTGTAAATCTTTGAGGGTAATTGTTAACACCATGGACCACAATAACATCTTTGTACCAACTGCAGATTTGAAAGAAGTTATCAATGCAAAACTGTGGAATAGCACAACAAATTCAGTTTCTAAGTTCTAAGTTTTTTCTAAGGGCTCTGTCTGATCAGGAAGAAAGAAAAATATTTTCACAATTTACACTGCTAATTTTCCATCTCTAGACTAGATACCTTGGTGGAATGTTGTTGTTCAGTGATACTGGGCTGCATTGAATGTTATAGCAAACTGCTCACCTGTATTGACAGGTTTTCTTCAATGAACACCACTGGTTTAATTCTTTATCTTCCGCACCCAGTATTTCATTCATAGATAAGCCAAAATCATTGGCTATAACGTTACGGTACTTAAATCTACATGGTAAATCTCCAATCACGTCCTCATAATCCAGTTTGTAATATTCATCAAAATATTCTCCAAAATTCTTCTCCTCTGAAATAAAGGCATTTTTTAAATTCAGTATGTAAAATTCATTGCCAATGATAAAGTCCCTCTTTGTATTCCTATTTACATTTGAAAACATGGATGGCAAAGAAATGGACATGAATATGTAACTATATATTTGTACCAAATTTAACCACAATTGGTCAAGTGTATCAGAGAAACGAGTAGGACTATTAAAACAAGCAGCCTATCGGCTGAGATAGCTCCGCTGTTAGCAATGCACATTTCAATTAAAGAACTGAAGACATCATTAGAAAATGAACAATATGAATAGTATCAAAGCAATCGGACTTACAGTTTTTAACAAGTCGAAAATATCACTTTTTACCAAAAATTACAAAAATATTCACCAAAATAAATTAATTAGAGAATTGAAGATATCATCACAAAACGAACAAATCTGAGAGAGGTCCACATGAAGTACCTATATATGTAATATCAAAGCAATCGGACTTACAGTTTTCAACAAGAAGTCGAAAATATCACTTTTTACCAAAAATGACAAAAATATTCACCAAAATTAGAGAATTAAAGATATCATTACAAAATGAACAAATCTGAGAGAGGTCCACATGTAGTACCTATATATGTAATATCAAAGCATTTGCACTTGCGGTTTTTAACAAGAAGTCGAAAATATCAGTTTTTACCTAAAAATGACAAAAATATTCACCAAAATTAGAGAATTAAGATATCATCACAAAATGAACAAATCTGAGAGAGGTCCACATGTAGTACTATATATGTAATATCAAAGCAATCGGACTTGCGGTTTTTAACAAGAAGTCAAAAATATCACTTTTTACCAAAAATGACAAAAATATTCACCAAAATTAGAGAATTGAAGATATCATCACGAAATGAACAAATCTGAGAGAGGTCCACATGTAGTACCTATATATGTAGTATCAAAGCAATTGGACTTGCGGTTTTTAACAAGAAGTCGAAAATATCACTTTTCACCAAAAAATGACAAAAATATTCACCAAAATTAGAGAATTAAAGATATCAACATGAAATGAACAAACCTAAGAGAGGTCTACCCAAGGTACATATACACCAAGTATCAAAGCATTTAGGCTTGTAGTTTTCAAGAAGAAGTCGAAAAAGTAAAACATTAACACGGACGACGGACAATCACTCATATGATAAGCTCCGCTCGACAAAGTCGACAGCGGAGCTAAAAAGATGAAGTGCTGAAAATTATGGATGAGACACTGCAGGCGAGCTGCAAATATTACAAATACTCACCAGCATTCGCTGAAGAAGATTCATGTAACCTCTTTCTTGGTCCTTGAGGTGGTCTATGAGGCGTTCAAGCTTCCTTATTTGATCAGTATTGGACGCCCTATCACTGGAGTTTTGCAGATTGCTCAACATTGCCCCAGCTTGCTTCTGATAGTCCTATAGAATAGATAAATTACAGTTTTATGAATGTAATGGTCAGAAATTAAACTCAACAGGATGATAAATGTAATAACGTGATTCTGAGCACTGATAACATATAATAGTGCTCAGAATAGTACCGGTAATATTGTTTCTGTAAAACAGAATAAAAAATTCCAAAAAAGGGATTTATTTTTCCCACATACATTTATATGCTTCAAAATAACAGCCAGTTTATGAATAAAATGGGTAAATTGTTTGTAGTTAAG